TAAAGACGAGATTCCGTCCGTGCGACATGATTTAATTGCTGAATGATTCTCAATATCATTTCTCCATCTTGTTTTTAGCACGGAAATCAACTTACGCGACCTCCTATAGACCGACTTTCATTATAAGTCGAGCTACAATGGTTTAGCGTTACATTTGCCCCGATTTAATTCGTAATCAAACTAGCCACCAACTTTAATTTCTGTCAAATATTATTGTGGATATTATTGTGATATTATCTTGTTATATTCATATTGTCATACTCATTATTCATTCTTATTCATACATAATCGAAAATACATAATAAATTATCGAAATCCTAAAAGCCGAATTGGTGGACTGTTGTATCATTGGTTATTTGTAGGAACCCTAATTTTGAGTCGTGCCCGACTTTGCTCAAGGCGTAGTTTAGGACACATTGCACACACACGGCTTTCTCTTGGGCTACCTGACAATGAGACCCATTTATTTCGTGCAATCCCGTGTAACTTACATGTACCCCTCTCCCATTCTGATGTATGTTTCGCATTTCTTTGATTATCGGTTTATCTCCTAGGAGCACCCATAGGGACTAGAGCAGATCAAACTATTTTCAAACTAACTCTCGATTCGTCATCGAGCCATTTTCAAACCCTTGTAAGTCGAGTGCTCATACGCATTCGCCATCAACCTATTGCACACAACTCGACCCTTGATGCGTAAGTCAAGTCGGTTTCATTTCTCAAACCATATCCATTACACGCTTTGCACGCGATAATAAGTCAAACCCTTGATCCAACGTCAAGCGGATTTTTGAAACAAACTATCAATCAATTAACAACTATTCAATTCTCTTCAAGGTGTAAAGAGTAGGTTCAATTCTTTGATCTTGCTTTCAGTTGTTTAGATGCGAGTTATCTTATTCGTGTGTGAGCAATTGACACCTTTAAATAACATTAACAACTCGACAACATTCAACCATCTCCAACTACTCATCCTTCCAAACGTCATTTCAAAATCAAACAACTTTCTTTTCACGATGAAAAGGAGAGGGTTCCAAGTCTTTGGTTCGCTCTCCCGACTACTTGGGTCCGAGAAGCCTTTCTTAAGCTTCAAGTAGTCGTCATCCGATCAACCTCACCCATTCAAACAACCTTCTTTTGCGATGAAAAAGAGAGAGTTCCAAGTTTTTGGTTCGCTCTCTCGATTACTTGGGTCTGAGAAGTATTTCTTAAGCTTCAAGTAATCGTCATCAATTCAACTTCACCCTTTCATCACAACTCAAATTAAGAGGTTCCCGTTGAGTACAACGGACGTGAGGAGTGCTAATACCTTCCCCTCACGTAACCGACTCTCGAACCCAGGAACATTTGGTTGCGACGGTCGTGTTCCTTCCGCTTTTTGAGGTTTTCTCGATATTTTCCTCTCCCGTTCATTCGGGAAGAATAAAGTTCGGTGGCGACTCTGTCGAACCGCATTTCCGCGCCTTTTGCGCGAGGGTCATGTTTTCGAAATGTGGATTTTTGAGGTGCGACAACCATCACCTGTGGTTGTTCATGTCGCATCCTGGCACCCTTTTTGAGATCAGATTTGACTTGCTCATCCATTAGAGTCACTACGTGATCGGATCCGACTTGCTCATGCCTTTGACAATGTTCTCTTAGACCGGAATTTGACCCACTTAAGATTTACACAATCCAACTTGTTTGCCCCTTTGTACTCAACTTATAAAAGCTCGGTCTTTGGGAATTTTGGAATGTACAATGGCTTAGGCATCAAACAGACTCAATTAATGAATGATGTTTTTCATTTTTAAAATTCTTTAGAATTTATTGACTAATATTAATGATTTATGGTGTCAGGTGTTCATCAATAAGTATAGTAGGAATCAAAATCTGTTGAAAAACATGATTTGCAAACCGAATAATTCTTCGTTGTAGAAATCGTTAACAAAGGCGTCAACACATAATGGAAGCGAAATCTTACGTTGCTTCAGAAATTGGTTCAATGTTGATCTAGTTAATCACATTATGAATATTCCTCATCCTATTTCCAATGATGGTGCTGACAAGTTAAGGTGAGGTGATAATAATAATCAAGATTTTTCAGTGGAAAATGCTTATAGATATCTTTCTTCATATATGAATGTTGAAGATACAAATATAGATTTGAATATCATTTGAAAGTGGAAAGTCCCCCATAGGATCTAAACATTCACTTGTATTATGTTACATGATAGACTTTTGAAAAACTACCAACGCCATAATTGGAACCCAGCTGTCCCAATTGAGTGCAAATATGTGCATGGACTGAAGAGACTTTGGTTCATGTGCTTTGAGATTTCCTTTATGCAACAAAGATATGGACTAAACTTGTTCCTTCTAACAAACGACTTTGCTTTACTCTATTTATTGCCAATATTAGATCTCTTACAATCTCAAAGAAAATTTCACAAATTCTTATATAGTTCATTAAAGATCAATCTTTATAATCTCTTGTTAGTTCATGTGAAAGTGGGGGAACAAACCAACATGAGGGAGGAAGTGTATATAGGCATTTCACCTGCCTTAGTTTTATATGTTGAGATAATGTGTTGATTGATGTCTTAAATGGACTATAACACCCCCTCCCCTCGTGCATGGTGTGAAAGATTCACAAAGACAATGTTGTGTTTAGGCTATAAGAAAATTCAAAGAGATCACACTTTATTTTTCAAACATACACAAGTAGAAAAACGAATTGTGTTTCTTGTCTATGTTAACAATAATATTGTTACATGAGATGATTTGACTGAGATACAATTACTTAAAAAGAAATTATCAACAGAGTTTGAAATGAAGGACCTTGGAGGACTCAATACTTCTTGAAAATACATGTAGCTCATTCAAATAAAGAAACTTTTATCTCTTAGAAAAAATAGGTGTTTAATCTTTTACAGAAAATACAAAAAGTTAGATGCAACCAACAAGTGTTCCTATGGAACAAAGCATAAGATCAACTATAAGGAAGAAAGTGACAAAGTTGACAAGTGTTAGTATTAGAGGATAGTGAGAAAATCGATTTACTTAGCACACAACATTTGATATATGCAATCAGTGTGATAAGTCAATTCATACATGATCCTATGGTGAGACACTTACGCAAATTGTAGACCGTGTTCTACAATATCTCAACATCAGTACAAGGAGAGGACTCTTATTTAAAAGATGTGAAAGTCTAACCATAGAGACTTACACTGTTGTTGATCATACAAGTTCATTAATTGACAAAAAATCTATTTTTGGCTATTGTACTTTCTTGTGTGGAAACCTTGTTATTTTGAGGAGTAAGAAGCAAAATGTAATTTTTCGATCAAGTGAAAATTCAATAAAAATTTGTATAGTATTATGGATGAAACAAATGTGAGAAGATTTGAATATAAAGTATGAAAATCCAATAAAGTTCACTATCAGAAAAATCAACCAACTTAACCAAGCATTTGGCCTCGAGTGATATACAAACTACTGCTAAGGAACGAAGGTTCGGGAAATATTAAGTTTGATTTTTAATAGAAATAATGTTTGGACAGATTTATGACATTTCAACCCAAACTCTGGATCACTATGATCCATTTCCCTAGGACCAGGGGATAAAAACAAAACAAAAAAAACTTACTTGCAAGCTTGAAATAATTGACATAATTTTAACAACATAAAAGAGATTGTTGTAAATATTACATAGTAACATGTATCGTTATTTTATTCTATTACTATTATGTTCACTAAATAATCTCATTAAATTTAAATTTATCTCTTTAAAAAAGTTTATTTTACTATTGCAAAATACAACTTTAAAGTATATTAAAATACTCTTTTTACAACGTTAATATTGAACGTGGATTCTTTGACAAATCCAAAATTTGTAAAAGAAATAGAATAATAAAAAAGAGAGAAATTTGAAGTTTACTATAATTTTGCAAGAAATGTAGTTTATTGTGTATTATATTAACTATAACCCTTACAGTAGGGGTCATATTTCTTATTTTTATTTGTTTTAAATTATTTACTTATTTAAAATACTAACATGATATTTATTTTATTTTTTTAGTAATTTAACCTTATTTATTGTTAAATTATATAATTATTTTATTGTCTATTATTAATAAAGTTATTATAGTAAAATAATATTCGTTTTACCTTTAAAATCAACACAATTAATTAATAAAATCTAAAATAGGTCGGTTATTGTAAGAGGAAGGAGTATACCATTTGTTTAAGTGTATTACTATTAACTATACAATGAATTTGAACTAAGCAAATGTGTTTAGGTGTATTACTATGAACCTCCACATTTGTTTAAGCAAATGTGTATACAATGAATTTGAACTAAGCAAATTTGAACTAAGTAATGTGGCTCAACAGTTAACAATAATAGCAAATCATTATACAATGATACGTTAATTAACAGTGAAATGTTCATATATAATATTCAACGACTTCTCAATCATGAGGTGAAAGATATGAACTAAGATTATATATTACTTCTTTTGTCACAAAAGAGTATTTTAAAATAAATTATCAATTTTAATTTCTAATATATTTTTTTAATTTTATTTTCTAATTAATGTTACTCTCATCATTCCTAATATATGATAAAGATACTTTAGTAAAAATATCACTTTCTTTCATTTATTTTTATTTTTTTAATCTGCGTAAAAAGTTAACTACATCACTCGTTGTGGGACGGAGAAAGTAACAAATTATTACTTGATACACCAAACTTTGATAATTTGTCGGATATCCCAGTTAAGAGCACTGGCACACAAATACAAATACAAAGCAGGTATATGAGTTTTCATTTGACATTATTTAGGATGAATGTACAAGCACTGTTGGCAATAGTTCATCTAAAGAAACCATGCATTACAATATCAAAATTATGGCACAACTTATTGTAACACAAGAAATTGAGAGAAATCCCTAAAACGTGCCCTGCTAATTTTGTCTCAAGGATGGACCCTTTTACAGCATGGAATCAGATATCTTCAAGGACTAATGCTAGTAGATGAGATGTGGCTTTTAGCTTGAGAGGAAGCTGTCGAAACACTGCTCTTTATCTGTGAATTATGAGTGGAGTTTGAATCAGTGAAGAAAACAATGTCCTCATGGTCATCAATAAAAGCTTGAAGGGATCTAGGAATTGGAGGCAAAGCAACATCCAACACCCCTTCAAGTATTTGAACTACTTGACCCATGGAAGGCCTATGAGTTTCATCATCTTGAACACACCATGCTGCAATCTTTATGACTCGAGTGATCTCCTCAACATCAGCATCTCCCTCCAATCTAGAGTCCAATAAGCTAATCACATTCCCTCCTTGGTGTACTACGTTTGCAGCCAATGTAGGAAAGAATCTAATTTGACCGTCTACAGAAGGATCCGAATTTCTTCTACCTGACACAAGCTCAAAAAGCATCATTCCGTAGCTGTAAACATCGGCTTTAGCGGTAATAGCCACTCCTGAAATCCATTCCGGAGCTAAATAACCTCTTGTTCCTCTCATGGTAGTTAAGACCCTGCTAAAGTCCCTTCCAACAAGTTTTGCAAGGCCGAAGTCTGCTACTTTTGGACAAAATTCAGAATCAATGAGGATGTTTTCTGGCTTCACGTCGCAGTGAATGATACAGTCTCTACACTTTTCATGAAGATAAGTCAATCCTCTAGCTACTCCAAGGGTAATTTGGAATCTTACTTTCCAATTCAACATGTTGGAGTTCTGAAACAGATTTGAATCCAAAGACCCATTCGGCATGTAATCATAAACCAGAAGCCTTTTGTCGCCTTCGGAACAAAAACCGCGAAGCCTAACAAGGTTGACATGTTGAACAGTTCCAATGGTGCTCACTTCTGTTCGAAACTGCTTCTCGCCTTGGCTAATGCTTTCAAGTTTCTTCACTGCTATGACACTTGAATCAGGTAATATTCCTTTGAAGACAGAACCAAAACCTCCTCCTCCGAGTTTCTCTGAGAAATTTTTCGTTGCATTTTGCAAATCTCTGTATGCAAATGCTATTAATGAGCCCTCCACAGAAGTTCTTGTTCCAGCTAGTCTCTTTCTTCGCCTAATCACGAGAATTAAAACAAGAACAAGGAGAATCACTATACCACCAACAGCACCACCAACAATACCAATGGTTGTACCTTTATTGCTTTTTGAATCATGAAACTCAGATGCTGCAAGTTTGAGAAACAATGTCTGTCCATTACTGTCATCTTGAGAAAGCTGTTGCAGATTCAAGAGTTCTCCCCTCCAAATGAAACAACCACTACTGTTATAAGTATATGCGGTGCAGGAACAGTTGCTCAAACACGTTGACTCACATTCCTCACTCAAACCAGCTTTTACAACAGGCTGTGCACGTTGAGGCAAAGCCAAATTTGATTTGGTTAAGAACCTATCATTGGCACCACTAGAAGGATTAGAAGATACCTCGCATTGAAATTTGTTTGTTTTCACACACCCATTTGAGTAATCACCAAGATTCCAATCAGATTGTGACTTTGGTTTATAACCATTCAAACAATTGCAGGATGGCTTTGAGATCTCATTGCAGCTACCAAATGCACCACAGAAAGCATAAACCTGACACTGTCCTCTTGGTTGTGACCAAAATAAATTCCATTGCTGAGTACTTTCCAGCCAAGTATATTGCTTGATCTGCCCAGACACATCCATCACAAAGCGAGATATAATAGAATTGCTGTACAAAGAGTATGTAAAGTAGCTTTCGTTAGCGCTATTCTCAAAGGTGAAATTGTAGATGTAGTTTGCCCTCATTTCAGGAACCAAACTGAATATCTGTCCATTCCAAGAACCACTTGTCCAATACTGTTGAGTTTTATTCCAAAGTATCAAGTATGAACTGGTTCCATTAGGATCTAGTTCAAGAGAGAACAAACCAGTTGCTGGATCTTCACTGTTCTTCCATGAAGTAAGATATTGAGGCTTCTTAGTTATCTTATTGAGTTTAATTTTGCCACCAGGAAGCCAAGTATCTGATGGAAAATCAAAACTCTGCCAAAGAGCTTCGGATGCTGATGCATTAGGCCTATTACTTAATATAAGATTACCAGTATCTAAAAGGACAGCAAATACAAAATTTGAACTAGCAAAACTCAAATTTGTTGACCAAACTATAGTTTGAGACTGATCCAAGAGAACTAAATTACCATCAGAAATAGCTAACCTGGAAGCACTTTTATTAGAAACTGGATCATCTCTATTTGCTATCCAAACATATGTCCTTAAAGATATCTTTTTGTACCACATGCCTATGTAGTAGTTAGAGGAATTACCTATATTGAAGAAACCCAATTCAAAGTTGCCATCTTTGGAGACAAGAGTTTGATCACCAGAAAGAGATTGGTTTGATGAGATGGTGGTCAAAGCAGAAAGTGAAGGGTAGGTGTGCAAAGAGAAAGAGATGATGAGGAAACAAGATATTAACCATGATTTTTTCTTCATGTTGTTAATGTTGTTGTTGGTTTGGTTTCAAGCTGCAATTAATTGTTCAGAAGCTAGATATTAGTATGTGATTGCTGGGTGGGAAATGAGAAAAGAAGTGATGGGTGAATGGGTCTAACCAATGACTTGGTCGTGTTGGTGTGTGGAAATAGTATATCTTCCATTTTGTTCTTATTGGTTAAGTCAACAAAGGCTGTTGAAACTTGAAAATGACTTTTGTAGTGTAACTGGATTTGGCCGCAACGTTATAAGCCTTGAAGTTTTATTTTCATAATAAGTTTAAAAAAAAAATAGGAGCTAAAAAGTCTAGAGTTTTAGAGTTTTTAAAGACTTTTCCTTAAGCTTATAAATTATTTTATTATGAAAAAAAAAATTAAGTATCCCATTTTGGTAATAAAATACAAGTGGGAACATGATTAATTTCGTTTTGACCCAACCAACTATAGTATTTTGGACCTTTTGACAAGTGTCCGGTAATCAGACCACAAAAAAGAGAGGCATAACACGTAGATCATCAAACGTCAAACCGAAAGACGTAGAAAATATCTTAAGCAATCAAATTGATACTATTATAATATTTAAATCATCACGTGAATCGAACAATACTAAGTTATCAACAGAATAGGTGAGGTAAACTCAAGTTACAATTCTTCTGTCACAAGCAGATGTTAATGCTCAAATTACATATTGCTTTCTAAGAGGAGTACAAAAGATCATCCAATTGCATGTTGATAATCATCTAACCTTTCTACAAACAAAATTTAATAATCTAATTGAGCTAGGTGGAAAGAAGCTCATACCTTGCACCATGGATTTGAAAAGCAATGCCCAACTTCATGAGTAAACATCATCCTGATCAACTAAGCCTCATCAGTTCCAGGCATTATCATTCTTCAACATAGTCTGAAAGTTTAGCTCCGCGACTTTTTCTTCTGAAAACGCTTAACCCTCTCATACGAAAACCTGATAACTTAACCTTCAAAGCTTTGCTTCTGTTTCTATCTAGCTCAATATCATCATCACCTCTAACTGAAGTTTTGGGGCAGACAGCTACTACTCTTTTACCACTTTCTTTCATTTTAAACATGCTCTTGCTTTTGTTTCTATCTAACACAACATTATCATCTTCAAATGAAGTTTCAGGGCTGAATGTTACTACCCTTTTACCACTTTCATTCATTGTAAAACTTTCCTTGCTTCTGTTTCTATCTAACTCAGCATTATCATCTTCAAAATCACCACTTTCTTTCATTTTAGACCTGGTATGTAGCTGTTGCACTGGTTGGTTACCGGTACAAAGTCGTCCAAAATAGTACATGGGTTCAACATAGCATGAAGAGGAAGAAACAATACCCTTCAGACGGGTTGGTTTGACAAACTTTATAAAACCCTCTAGCTCTGCAAAATTTGAATGATCAGAATAAGGAACTGAAAATATATACTGGTCAAACTTTTTGGGAGATCCTGCTTTTCCAATTTGTTTATTAATCTGGACCTGGGTACTATTTGCGCTCCGTCTGCTTCTCTTATACCGCGATGTCAAAAAAGAACCCGAGAGAAACTCGCTCTTTTTAAGGGAGTTCTTTACCCAAGGAAGACCTGATGGCAAAATTCCTATAGTTGGGCGCGTTGTTGGACAGATTCTATTTAACGCCTCCAATGTATCAATGCTAAAGCTATACATAGGAACAGCTCTCACTCTAGTAAGAGTTGTATCTGTTGTAAATATATCAGGAAGACCGAGAAGATGCATAGTCTGCAACCGCTCTGGCCACACCCAAATCTTCAAATGAAAAAGAAATAACAGTTAAAAAGCAAAAGAGTAAAATAGAATGCTGAATCCAAATTAACTCAAGCAACCAAAATACAAGATGCAAAGTTTTGTAATATGAGATGAACATGACAATTTATATGTAAAACTTGACACTTAAAGCATACAATGAAAAGTATTAATCATAGACAGGGTCATCTTTAAGGGTTGTGGGTAAGTAGGACCTCATAATAGTTGTCATTATTAAACCATAAATAAATATATCCCCTATTGTTTTGTCATAAATGAACCTTAACTATCCAACACAGGACCTCTAAAAACTTAAGATGGCTTTGATCATAGAAGCATTTTCCTCAAATACCATAGAAAACAAACATAGTGGCATGATGAGTAGAATTTTATGGTGAAGAGAAATAGAATACCAATATGTTAAGTGCACTTGAAATCTGAACCAAAAGATCTTCTTTCCCTAGAGTATTGATACCAATAATAACATCATGGTCAGGATGTGACGAAATTATATCAATAGCCTGAAATCAGTCATCAGCCAATTCATGAGGAATAGAAAATGCACAATCCTTTTATGATAACCCCAATTTCTAAACCCTAACATCATTCTCACAAAATGTCTATGTAAAAGGACCCGAACAAACAAATCACAAAACAAGAACGGAAATACAGTGTACCTGCTGAGTCGCTACACTACGAGTAGGAAAATCATAGGTAGGATTAGCATAGGTATTATCAATATAAACAACATCAACACCATGAGCATCAAGAGCATCGCTAAGCATATCCTTGGTGATCCTTGCCTTCTCGCAATCAGCCTCCCAACGAAAATCACCGGTGTAAAGCACACAACCAAAATCTCCCGAAAACAGCAACATAACCGAACCTATTCCAAAAATAGACTACACATAATCCAAAATTACTTGAAGACAATTAAAAAATGACATAAGTGCCACATTAGGGTTACATACCGGGGCAGTGACAGGCGTCCATGGCAGTGACATGGACGGTGGTAAAATTAGAAGAAGAAGGTGATCGGAGGGAAAGTGTGTGGGAGGTACCAATTTGAAGAATGCGGAGGAGGGAGAGATCGAAACTAGGGTACTTAATGGGGAGGAGTTTGGCGGTGATTAAGGAGCAGAAGAGTGGGCCATGGGACCAAGATGAAGAGAGGCCCTGAGTGTGATCGGAGTGGAGGTGGGTTAGGAAGTACGCCTCGCTTCCGTTTGCCCAACGGTCTACGGATATTAATCCTTCTTCCATTTTTGACGACGGAAAAGGACTAGTTCCACTGTCACGAAAAGTACGAACAGGAAGAATGGGAAATTGTATTTGTATTTGCGGAACGCTCGGTGTTTTTGGATCGTCGGCGGGAACTTTCATCATTGTTTTTTCTTCTCAATATTTGGTTCTAGCGGGAAAATTAGGAAAATAACATGACGCCTGCTTCACTTTCAGAATTTTTTTCACCTTACCATCATTTTTCAATTTTTATTTTCATTTTACCACCTATTTTCAAAAAATATCAAAACTATCTCATGTTTCAAAAAAATCTAATATCTACCTATTAAAATCGTTCCTTACTAAATATCAATTATGCTTTTTTTATTCTAAGTTTAAACTTTTTTAATTTTAAGGTTATAAGTGTCTAATTTCATATTCTTGCAATATTATACATTTGGCATTTATTGCGTTTGATATATCACTCTCTCAATTATTTGTTTTTTTTTTATAATTTGTAATATTTTTGATTAATGAGTCGTCATTGAGAATGTAAAATATACTAGAAAACATCATAACACATTGATTTGTAATTACTTGAAGAATGAAAAGTCTCACAACTTTCCATGCTTCTAATCAATTAACATTGCAACCATGTTAAAGTTTTCTCTCTTACATGATTTTTCATCTCCTCTCACGTTCAAATCAACTCACCAAAAACAAATCAACAACATTTGTCTCATCTCTAATTTGCAGAAATGAAATCGACCTTAAACATTAATGCTCAATAGTATTCACTCATAATCATCAATCCAACATCGAATAACAACAACATCAAACTCTCAAACCTGAAACACCACAATCTTCAAATCACGACAAACACAACAATTGCAAAGATCAAAATAAAAAGAGAAAGAAAGTTGGATCAAAAAAATTAGAAACAAACGCAATAGAATCTAACAACAATAACAGAAGAAGAATATGAACCAGGACAAGAAGATGCAGATTTCGAAATTGGAAAAGGAGCGAACACTTGTCTCGCCGGATTTTTTTGACGGAAACGCAAACACCACCGCCAGATATGCACACCTATGATGCCTCCACTGTCGCCGCCATATTCTAGACCCGCCGACAACCGTGCGACCAATCTGCACGCCTTCCGCCGTTAGATACGCCGTCTTTGGTTTAGATTTGAACGCTTTCGATTACTTTATCAATAATGGTTTTCAAGGTTTTGTTTGTTTATGGCCTAAGCTTGCTCTTCTCGCTTGTAAAATCATCGTTGTTTATGGTGTTCTTGAAACCGCACTTCAGCTTTATCTTAATCTTAAAAATGTCTACAGCCCAATTTCTTTCACCAACAATCAACCTATTTATAAGGTCTGTTTCTCTTTTTCTTTTCTTTTTTTTGTTACTTTTTTTCTTATATTATGATAGTAAATTAACTTTTTTTCATTTTTCCCTGAAAATGGTGTTGCTGCATACTTAGTCACTTTGGTTTATTTAATGTTAAGATTTGGCTAGTGCAGTGAAAAATATAGGCTCCCTTTGATCATTTAAATGATATACCCTTGATCAAATAATGGAAGATGGAACTTTTTATTCTTAGGTTGAACCATAAAAAGCACTATGGTGTGAGAAAAAACAAGTTGTAGTACAAAAAATAAAGAGAATGAAGATTCTAAGTAAAATTCTCCGAACTTATGTTCGCTCAAGTAAGTAATTGACTCTTTGTTATTGAGTATAAATTATTAAGATAAAGTCAAAATATGTTATTAGTTAAGCTCTGTATTGGATTTATTTCAAATTTTTCTACCTAACATGATGGAGTGGATTGATCGGTTTATTCAAATTTTTCTGGATTGACAGGTTTAATATTTTAATTTTAATTTTTTTTTAAACTGTATTTGTGTATCTACTACCTACTACTATTACATATGTTCATGATTTTTTACTTCATGTGTTTGTGTTGAGTAGTTTATATAAGCAATCATTTTAC